CTGCAGATAGAGGTGGTTCATTACGAGTAGGACCCTCTACTTCTTTGTACTGTGGTGCTGTGGCCAGAGAAAGGTGCAGTCTTTCCTGGCCTCTTCCCTTGTGGGAAATCCTCGGTGTGCATTTGGGAAAATCCTGTTGCTCCAGGGGGAACTGGAGCAGGTAGGAAAAGCTCTTTGCAAGAGTCATTGGAGCAAGCTAAGCACCACATTTACGGGAAGCCATAAAAATGTGCCACAGTCCGGTCTCCTCTGTGTCCCCTTTAGTCCAAGTGGTTTGTTTGTAGCAGGCTCCCTGTCAGCATGGATTTTCAGTAATACTCATTCAGGTGAGCAATGCTACCGCTGCAAGATCTATTCTTTGGTCCACCACAGCTTGGTGGAACACCTCTGACTCCTTCTGTACATGACCAGTAGCCACTGGGGATTTTCAGTGAAGGTTATCAAGCTGGATCAAATGCTATAAGGGTTTATATCAAGACTGAAACCAAACCCTTAATGATATACCAGGGACGTTTCCATTCTTACTGTAAGACTTGGACAAATCCTGGTCCTTTGGAAGTTTTGCCACCAGTTTCAAAGGGGGCAGGAGCTCACCCTGAGGACTGTGGGGGCATTAGCAGCAGGATTGTTAGGAGGCCCTGAAGTTACAAACAAAATTAGTATCTTGTGAGCAATATCAGTTTCATTGTCCAACACAACAGAGTGCCGAATCCTCTCATGTTGACTTGTTAGAAATTGCAAAACTAGAAATGAAGGAGTTAAATGGAGATTTTGGGGGATGAAGGGTAGTGAAACCAACAGATTTCCTTCTTTTGTTTGGTTTTTTTGTTAGTTCTGCAATTGTTTTGGTCTCTCATTGACAGGGCTTTCGCAAGCAGTCAAAGAGCTCTTATAAGTATAAAGGATAGTTAATTTAATTTGCTACTACCCATTAATGTTGCAAAAAACGATGCACATTCTTACTAGTGCCTTCACCTCTCACTTTGCACCCAGAAAAGTGAAGGTGAATTGCCAGTGATAGGGATGGCAAGAGTATGGAGAAGACAGTCATGTTTTCAGTCCTGAAACTTCTAAGAGTCCACGAAATCATATAAACCAGGATGATTTTCATGCTTAAATTTAGCACTATTGTTCTTCTTCAGTTCAGTAATAACAGAAGTGCATATGTATGTCCTTGTTTGCTTCCTTCTGAGCACTGCTTTTTTTTCATTCTCCCGTGGTCCTCAGGAATATGATCTTTTCCTGCAAAAAGGCACTGGGAAAGATTCCTGGCAGACACATTTCTTTTGGTCTAACTACCGTGAATGTCTGTGCATGCATCTGTTCCCCTGCCTGGTACATTTCATAACCTGTCTGTGGCTTTTGCCAGGGCAAAAAGAACTGGTTATATTTCCCTCCTTGGTTTTATTCTTTAGTACCCCCGTAGCGAGGCACATTGTGTGGTTAAAACGTTTACATGGATTTCACTTCCTCTGGGGAGGTCTCACAAGGTTTCATTTTTAACAGCATAGAGTGGGTTTATCACTGGGTTGAGAACCCTGGGAAGTGGTTGTGGTGTGCAGAACAAGCTAAAAAAATCCCTTAAAAACTAAAGCAGGGCAAGTTTTTCCTCTGTTGCTTCACTGGTGTGGCTTGGCCTGATGATCTGAAATTATGGCTGTAGATGGAAGGTTGTAGATTCTGGGGCCATTTAGTCCTTGGCTGTCCTACTGAAAGGGCACTTACAGTGATAGCTGTTGTGACGTGGGTATCTGTAAGGTCTGCAAAGCTAGGAATAATCTGGTCTCCTCTATATTCTCTTCTATTCTGCTGCTTAAATTGGTCTCTATGATATCTCAGTAATTCATTGCAGTAGGCGTATGAATACCTACTACAGGATGTCTTCATTTCAGTTGCTCTTTGCCTGAGACAGGGCTACCTGTCCACAAAGTGACAACTTTTTATTCTATATCTGTTCATTTTGATTCACTAGTTTCTGAGCCTACTCTTACTTTAAAATTGTACTACTTGGTCTTGGCAATGGAAGAAAAAAATAGTTTCAGCTGTATTTCTATTCCTGGCTTTTCTGTCTTGTCTTGGGTCTTTTTTTCTTTCCAAGTTTTAAATATGGAGAATTTAAAAGCATTAAAAATGAATGGCTCATTGTGGATTAAAAAGAGACAGTGAATAATAATTTTCTATTCCTTTCTTATGGACTGGGTAGGAATTACTTATTTCTGCTTTTGTTGATATAAAATTAAGCTTGCCTAGGGGTTTGCATCATTAGATACTTTCAGCATTAGTTTCCTATTAATCAAAGCATTGGGTTACCACTGGCTGGTGTTGAAAAGGAAGCAGTCTTTTCAGTGGTGATACCTTAGCATGGGGAGTACATGATTAATTACTTTTCCTTTGTTTTCCTGGGAACAAAAATATGAATACATATAAATCAAATCTCTATCAGTTAGACATAGGTCAATCTCTAAGGATGCATATGGAGATATAAATTATAAAATATTATCTGTACATGTGTAAAGAAATGCAAGATGATGTGACAATAAATGTGTGGTCATATGGGGGAAGTGTAAAAGGAATGTAGGAAGCAGATGCAATTAGGTGTACCCAGGGAAACAGTTGATGATCCTTATGGGTCCCTTCCAACTTGAGAATTTGGCAAACACACTGATTTTTTGTTTACTTTTAGTGCATTTTAAGATCAAGCTACTTATGTAGAAAAAAGAATCTCATGGCCTGAATTTACGTTTACTTGAGCCTGGATTCAAGTATTCTGCCGTTAGCTGTCAAAATCACAGAATCACAGAATGGCAAGGGTTGGAAGGGACCTCAGGAGACCATCCAGTCCAACCCCCCTGCTAAAGCAGGCTCACCCAGAGCAGGTTGCACAGGACATCGTCCAGGTGGGCTTTGGATATCTCCAGAGAAGGAGACTCCACAGCCCCCATGAGCAGCCTGTTCCAGGGCTCTGTCACCCTCAAAGTAAAGAAATTTTTCCTCATATTCAACTGAAACCTTTTATGCTTCAGTTTGTGCCCATTGCCCCTTGTCCTGTCGCTGGGCACTACTGCAAAGAGTCTGGCTCCGTCCTCGTGACATCCACCCTTAAGATATGTGTATGTGTTGATGATATCCCCTCTCAGTCTTCTCTTCTTCAGGCTAAACAAGCCCAACTCTCTCAGCCTTTCCTCATAGAGGAGATGCTCCAGTCCCTTTATCATCTTTGTAGCCTTCCCCTGGACTCTCTCTAGGAGTTCCTCATCTTTCTTGAACAGGGGAGCCCAGAACTGGACACAGTACTCCAGGTGGGGTCTCACCAGGGCAGAATAGAGGGGGAGGAGAACCTTAGTTTAGAAGTTTAGAAGTTGGAGTATTATTTTTCTATCATCAGGACAGACTATTAGGCACCTCCAGGGATGCCTGGTGGAGTAGTAAAAACTGAAATGGAGTCAATCTGTCTCTGGTATCAGTTTTGCCAAGGTCTAGCTGCGAGAGCTGCTAAAAACGTAACATCTAATCAAAACTTCAAATGTTTATAGTTTTATTTATTTTCAGACCCACTTATTTATTTTCTGCAATAGGTTCTCCTGAGGCGAGAGGAAACGCTGGCCTTTTGGATCAATTGGCTGTTTTGAAGTGGGTGCAGCAGAACATTGCTAGTTTTGGAGGAGACCCAAGCCAGGTTTCTTTAGGAGCTGACCGTGGTGGGGCCGATGTTACCAGCATTCACCTGCTCACAGAGGCAGTGGATATGGACCTCTTCAGGAGGGTGGTGTTGATGGTAAGTCCCATTCCTGCCGCTTCAACTTCACTGTGAAAGGATGTTGTTACAGACGTGAGGATGTTGCAGTGTGTGGGTGCTGGTTTTATTTCATCCATACCTTGGCAGCGCTAATAGGACTGTTATTGCTATAGTTATTTTTCATCTCACCTGTGACTGCTATCTCCAGGAGCTGGGTGCTTCACAAGGATATACAAGAGATGCACTTTGATGATTGATTTAGTCATAGTAAGAATCTGGTTTTCGTCACTGTGGTTTTTTGTGTATTATATAAATAGTCTTGTTTCATAACTTATAGGTACAACAGGTTAGTTTCCATTCCATAAATACGGTTGTTGATCAGCAGTTTTTAGACTCTAAAACTGATGAGCCAAACATCCGCATGTTTAAAGTATCCGATCTTTTTATCTGATCTCATGACAGATTTAATTTAAAAGAAAAAGCCAGTTTCAGAAAGAGAGTAAAAATCCGTTTACCCATGAGCTTTTTTGTTGTCAGCTTGGACCATTTTCACAGTCACCCCAAGCGATCCGCATTTTTACAGCCCCTCCTGTGTCAAATCTCAGGACTTTGAGATCAGCTTTGTCAATGTTGATACCACTGTTGATCTTTACAGCCTCAGATGAGAGTAGAGTGCTCTGAAATGAGGCTTAATCTTCAGTGGAGGTTCATCTATCCAGTAGAAATGGTAGCTGGATGACAAAATGATCTCTCTGCTAGCAATGTTGACTTGGGACAGTGAGCAGGGGAACAGAATTCTTGGTCCAGGAAATCTAGGGCCCAATTAAATGAAACCTTGCTTTGAAAATAATGACATCTCTATTCACTACTTGATTTTTCTTCAGTGTGCCCTTGTTCCAGGAAATGTAACTTGCCCTTTGCAGCCTCATGTCTCAATAAGATTATTTTAATTGCATCAGTCTAGTGGGGAAGGCAAGGGATGTTGCTGAAAATTGCTGTTCAGTAGTTGGGTTTTTGTGTCATTCTCAGATAATTCCTCATACAGTTCCTAGATTTTTACTCAGCTCTTGGCATGGCAGTTAATTTACTAGCGGGCCCAGAGTCCTTTTCCCTCAGGGTACAGTTTCATCCTACTCTTTCTCTGAAGTCATAAACCCTTTACTGACATGGCTCAGGGTGGGGCCCAGTGAAAGATGTGACAGGGTGCAGTGCAATTTTCCAGTTGAGCAACTGATGAAAGGGAAACGCGAGGACCTCTTTGCTTATCATTATTTCTGGAGTGTAGTTCCCCATTACATCTTTACTCTTACAAAATAGAGTTTGAACTCCTTCTTTCTCCTACAGTAGGTCATCGAATAATGGAAAACGGTGGCAAGTACAATGAGCAGGCAGGTGCCTCAATTCTTCCCACTAGTCTAGTTTGTGTGGCAACAATGTGCTTCCTGGGACTGTGCAGACCACTCTTTTGGCAAAAGCAAGATCTCCACTTAATTTGAAAGTAATGTAAATTATTTATCCTTACAGCATCGCAGTGGCTTTAGTTTTCTTGTGAAATACACTGATAAAATAAAAAGCAAGCAGTACTAGCAGGCTTAAAAATATATGTGGGTTTGGGTTTTGGTTTTTTTTGTGTGTAATAAAGTGAAGCAGAATGTAACTGTGAGTTTATTCAGATTTCTCACCTAGACCTCCTGTAAAGGGATGTGTCTTGTTTTTGTTCCAAGACACCAAAATCATTGCATGCGTTTAATTTTACTGTAAAAAAAAAAAAAGGAGTGCACACAGACTAAGAATCATGAAACTGAGAATATATACCAGAAATAGCTTTCCTGAGGGAAAATTCCATAAGCAATACAGCTTTTCTGCAAAAGTTAGTTTTGCGGTCCGTGTTTGGGGCTTTGTCATGCATAAAAAACTTAAACTGTTTCTTAGCATCCAGAGAGGTGTGATGTATGCAACTTTCTCTACAAGAAGACGTGCACCTGAAATAGCAAAATGGTTTTGAGTTTCCTGTGACTGCCCTACAACAGATTTTGTTTGGAACAGATGTGAAAAAAGATTGTACAAAATCAATGCAAAGCTTGTCACGGGGACTTTTCATACCTTTTTTCATCTTTCAGTAGTATGATTAGAAAAAAAAGTAGTCTCAGTGATTATGGTCTCATTTGAGATCATTTAAGAGCATTAACATAGCGTCTGACTTAATATTTTGATTAATTGATTTATTTACCAGTGCAATTTTGATGTAGAAGAGTAGATCAATGGTATGGCTTGCCTCCGTCTCTTGCAGGAGGCTGTGGAGGGCAGATATGTCAGGTGTCCCCTCCAGGCATTCCCTGCTGGGTGTCAGGAGGAGACCTCCCAGGCTGCCTCCATTCAGCTCAATGTAAGACACCAGCACCCTCCTGGCCATGGAAGCAGGTCAGCCAGTGGTGGAAAGAAAAGATTTATTGCCCTACTGAAAACTACGGTGATCAGGTGCAGGGCTGCCTGACAGACCATAAATATCCCTGATCCTATGATTAGCTACTCTTTAGATCCCCTTTCTTCCCTCTTCCCCCATCTCCTTTTTTTTCCCCTTTACCGGCCTCATTCCCTCTCAAACAAACCAACCTCCCACCTCTGATTACTTTTTCTCCATTGGGTCCCAGTTTTGCTACATCCCTACCCAAATTTGGTATTTCTGATATTGTTTCTTAGGTAATCTCAGATTTGTATAGAATCACCTTGGTGCTGTCGGCCCTTGCAAGATGGTGCTTCCCAAAAGGTCCCCCCAGTAGTCTTTCAGTTATTTGTGAGAAATGGCCAGACCTCACAGAATTTCCCTATAACTGTCAGTGAAATCCAGCCACCCCATATAGCACAATTCATAAGTTTTTGTCACCTTCTCATGTCATTACTATGAAGGTGACTGAGTGCTGGCACATGTCACCCAGGGGAGTTGTGGAGTCTCCACCCCTGGAGATATTCAAAAGCCATCTAGATGTGGTCTTGGACAACCAGCTCTAGGTGGCCCTGCTTCAGCAGGGGGTTTGCACCAGGTGACCTCCAGAGGTTCCTTCCAACCTGGTCTGTGATTAGGTGAACCTGTTATCATCAGAACATGTCTGATCGCCTTCCTACAGAGCATGTTGCAAGTGCTGCCCAGTTACATGGGCTTTTGGATTCTTTTGTCGCGTTCCATCAAAGATGCCTTCTAGCAGTGACATTGCAAGACTGGGTGTTTGTACTAGTTGCATGCTAGGTTCTCCATTTTCTAAAAGCAATACAAAGTAACAATTGGATATTATTTTAATGAATAAATACAAGTCATGATTTAAAAATCTGTAATGCTCCCCATATACATTTCACTAGATAAAATGCAGTCACCATAACATATTAATAATCAGTAACAGTAATGAGATGATACAAACACCTGGAGTTCCTGAGTTCATTTTGCTTTGTGGTGTTCAATGTTTACCAGCCAAATTACATTCATACTTTAAGTTCTGAAATATGTTTAAATAGGCTGTGAACTAATTTGATCTCTGAATCTCTCTTGCTAGTGCAAATGATCTGTTACAAGATCTAAAGAGCACACAGATTTGTGCTAAGAGGTATTTACAGAGGAAATTATATATATACACACATACATTTTTATATATATATAAAACCCCAGTTCCCTCTCTCCAAACCTTCATTACTCAGATCTGTGCAAAAAGGTATGACACAATATTAGAATGAAAATATCTTGGCTCGAGAACATAGTTTGCAGCATTTTATACCCCCAGATGTGAGTGACAACTTGATTTAGAATGCAATCACGTCAGGTTCAAAGGACCATGCTAGCTGCTCCTTTATCACTTAGCAAAGGGTACATATATATAGAAAAATTCTCTAATTCTTCAAATTTCAGATAACCCAGTTACAAATCTTTAAGCAGTTTGATGAAATGTGTCACTACTATTTGACATAACTCTCTTCAGAAAACTCTTTAGTATCCACTGTTGCTGATTTACTCTCTTAGTTTAATTATTAAAAAAGCTGCTATTAATATAAATATTATACATAAATATGGGAGTGCCTTCAGGACACGAGGTTAAAATCTGGTCCTCCACACTTAAAAGGTCACACCTTTGCAAGCCTACCTTTGCAGTTAAGCATGGTATTACCACATTTTACTTTTCACTTAAAACCCCATTTTTTCTCTATTGTGTATCTGCTAGACTGTGAGCAGCTGTGTTATGCTTTTGGATATGCCTGTACTCTCAGCTCAGGGCTAAGCAGGAGTTGCTTTTCTCCGTGAGTTGAGCCTGTTCTTAATTTTTTGACCACTTTGTGACACTGCAGGCCACTGCCAGCAGTTGATTTAAATGCCACTTGGAAAGTCAATGATTTTAATTTTTCCCCTTAAAAGGTAAAAATGACAGAAGTATGGTGTCAATATAATCTTGGATGCTGGATGTTAGATACTTTCTTGGGGTTACTGATGACTTTCTGACCCATTGTCAATGACGATGGATGATTCGGTATGGAAAAGGAAAAGCCTCCTTTTCTCAAAGTAGATCGGTTCTGTCAAGATGGTTTTCAGCCTTGTGGAGAATACCAGAGTAAGACTTAATTTAAGTTCTTGAGCTGTAGTTAGTCCTTCCCTACAAAATCACCTTTTTACAATGGTGGGCAGCACCCTTGCTGAAGAGTCATCTGCCTCACTTGGCTCTTGACTTAGAGTCTATCTCAGTTTATCTTGTGAGTAGGTTCTAATTTCAGGTGCCCTGGGGACATTTCCAGCATATGGCTGAGATAGCACCATTAAGAAGGTCTCTGATTAACATTCAGAAGAGGAAATGCAGAAGCATTGCCAGTGTTTGATCATCAGCTGGTGTGCTCATATCTCTCATCTGTCGAAGGACTGCAGGACCACAGGATGCTCTGGGTTTTCTTCTAACCCCTCAGTTGTATTTTTTTTCCCCTGTTTGTCTTGCATTTAGTCTTCATAGTATGTAGGTGGCAAGTGAAGGGTACTCTTACGTTTGCTCCCTGTGTATATAAGAGATTGGGCTTTCTTCTTTCTGGCACTCGCAAATGAAGCCTCGTTATCTCCTGTTAGGGAGAGGTAGGAAGCGATACTTTCCCTCAGGCCATAGCTGAGACAAGAGTCATCCATTGCTGCCAGGGTGCTTTCAGTATCTTCAGTCACCTCCAGCCTTTAAAAGAACAAAATTTTGTTACTGTTTCAGCAACTTTAACCAGGCCTATTAGTATAATATTGACAGTTGTTAAACCAAATTATGTTAATTTTGTTGTATAAAAAATTTCCCGTCTCATACATCACCAAACATTTCTGTCACTTAGTGATTTTCCGAAACAATCAGTACAACAATAGTATCTAAATATTTTTTGGCATCTGAAAAGGAAATAACATCTATATACTTTATCTCTTTCTTCTTAATCTGTAGGAAAAATGGCCTCGATACTGCACAAAATTTTCTTGCATTTGTAAGCAAATGAATATGCTTTGTGAAGGAAGGGTAGTGGAGGGAAATTTACACTTCAAAAATAGGAGGTGCTTTTGTTTCTGAAGGTGGTTGTTTCACCAGCTTCTGAAACCTGACCTACTTTCTCTAGTTGCAGTCGTGATATTAGAAATCTCATGAACCTTGAGTTGGGCTGTGTACTGAGAGAGACACAGCAGGAAAGATTTACGCTGGGATAACGTGTTCATTGCACTTTTGCTGCCTCATGGGTGGCCACCACCCGTGAACAAGGAGGAGCCATTTCTGACTGTTGGGGCTCACATGTAAGCCACTGCACATTAGTGTGCCATTGCTGGTGGATCTGACTAGGCTTCATAGCCTGGCTTTTACTCCTGCTCCCTTGGTGGAGAGGACTCATGAGTCCCAAAGGGACTGCATATGCAGCCTGACTCTTAGCTGGATGGCAGAAATGATTGATTGTTGACTATACTTTCTTTTGAAGTTAGACCAAGATTATCACTTAGAGAGATGGACATCTAGTTTTGATGGGTTAACCTGCTGTCAGCAGCTTTGAAGACTGTCTAATCTTTAAAACTGGTCTCAGGAGAAGGAAATGGCTGTTTCTTCTGTGTTGTAAGTACAAGTATCTAAGCCTGGAAAAAAGAACTTGTTGTTTCTGGCAGCCCGTGTTGTATGTGGTACCTGTGAATATTTCTCCAGTTGAAGTTTTTATTCCGCATCACCACAGGAGGAACTTGATTCGTTATGCTGCTGTTGTTAGTGCACTGGGTGAGACAAGGTGTTGTAAGGACACAGCAGAGGCCATCAGCAACTTCTGAACAGGGAAATGAATACACAGACAGTTAATTTTTGCTCACTGTTATTTTCACTGTTTTTCTTCCCTGGTCTATGCTCAAATAAGCAGTATTGGACTCAGTAGCAGGAGTCAATAAATTGTGTATTCTCAGCCAGGACACTGTAACACAGGCTTAACTTTTTCCTTTCCTCATATCTTTGCCTTTTAATTTATCATGGGGTGTATTTCCCACAGTACAAGTGAGGAACTGAGACACAGAAAAATAGTGACTTGCCCAAAGTCTAGGAGGAAGTTTGTGACAGAGCAGGGACTTAAACCCATGTTTCCTGAGTCCTCAGTGAGTTCTGCTTTTGCATCCTATCGTCTCAGCCATGCAAACAGAGTGTAAAATTGATGCAAGATGCAACCACTCAGGCTGTGCAGCTAATCTGCTGCGGAACATGGCTATGGAATGAATGGAGGTTCACATGTTCCTTTCATCTATGTTTCTTCTCTCTCTTCTCTTCTCCTTGCTCCGCTAGGAACATTGCGTAGGGTCTTCTGTCCAAGTAGAGTACATAGTGGCTGGACACTAGTGTTTGACATCTCTGAGCCTTATTTTAGGGTGAGATTCTATATCGTCCCATGGTGGGGGAAGGAGGAGAGCTAAATCTCACTACATCTCCTCTTACACCTATAACTCAAGTTAAAATGTTAATTGTTATGAATTTTGGGGTCCTGTTGTCCGTCATGTGTTCCCATCCGCCCCCCCCCCATCCCTGAATTTTAGGCTTCGATTGTTTGCCTCTTTCTAAAAGGAGAAAGGTATCAGCTAAATAAAATGTAAAAAAAAGAAAAAAAAATCTGTCCAAATTCTCACTCCTCTGTTTATATCATTGGACTTGCAAGTTTCTTTTGCATGTTTTGTATGTGAATATGGCTTTTCTCCCCACTTTATCTGAGTACTCTTTGGCCAACACACTTTTTCATTTGCCTATAAAATATACAGATATGGTAGCTTTACACTTTCAAAATTATAGAGTACCCACTGCTGCTTAAAGCACAAGACCTATTGTTCTCTTGTAACTTTTGTGCAATTAACTTACTGCAATCTTCCTTCCTCATTCCATAATATTCTTGTTTTAATGCATGGTAACTGCAGCCACTTAATTTTGTTTGCCAGGTTCTCTCTCTGACACAGGTTAAATTACCATAAATCTGGAAAACTATCATTGAAACAGCTGTTATTCACTGGACTGTTATTAGTAGAAATGACAGCTGAATCTAGATTTAAGCTAACAGCTTGAGCCTCTTGAGAGAACTCCTGCTGATAAAATCCAGCCATACTCTTCTAAAGTAGTAGGGAAGGAACTAACAATGTTTCTGAGAATTTTCTGCTGCAGATGAGGTTGTGTGTTGTAATGGTTCCTAAGAAAAATGCGATTGCAGAACGTGGTCCTGCATATCCTGATGCTATCTGTCTGTCTACATGGTAAATAAATAAATGGCAGACATGTCCATTCTGGTAAAAAAAGTGAGCCAGGAGCTGAACTCTGGCCCCGGGACCCAGAACCATGACATGCATCTGTTCAGTTTAACATTTTTGTACACCCAAATTTTGACTTCAGCTGTGCTCTGATTGGGGCTGGGCATCCCTGGCCTGTGCTAACCTCCAAACTGTATTTGAAAGTTGTCTAGGGAAGTGCTAGATAGTGTTTTTTGGACCAAATACCATAAGGGACAGCTCTGTTGAGGTGGCCATACAATACCATATACCAATATGGGCAAAGCCTCTCTATCTGTATTTAGCTGAGTTCTTGGTTCATTTCAGTTGTACTGTTAAGGGTAGCATATTTGTATTTAGGATCAAAAATAAAGTAAAAGATATAAACCAAAAGTTTTTCCATTACTTGTTCTGTGGCAGTAGTTGCAAGTCTCAGACTTAGGCAAAACTTCTTGTTCTGGACCTTTGATAGATAGTTTTACAGTTGCCAGTGGAAAATATGTTTACTCTGCACGTTTTTTTACCTGAGTAGTGATTCACAAGGTCTTCAAGGCACTGAAAGGTTTGCCGTGGGGAGATGTAATACCAGTTATTTGGAAGGCGGAAGATCCTGTAATGTTTCACTTGCCTGTGCCGCACTGACAAGGAATAGAACCCTGGAGAAAGAGGAAATCTAATTACACCAAATCTAATTACTTCTGGGTTGACAGCAGTGACCACAACCACAATATCTGTAAGATGTGGTGCCATAATCCAAAAGGTCCCAGAATGATCTGAAATAAACTGAGTGGCCATCCTAATTTCTATTTATATAGCATGTTTTACATAAACAAAGGGAATAAAGGGCCCTACAGCAGGGCATGAGATTTAGATTGAATTTAAATTCTGGTGTGTTTTTCCTTTATTTTTGCTGGTATGGGATTTTTTTGAAACAAGCCTTTACAGAAGTCGTTTGCCACCTTCTGCAGAAGGGGACCAGACTCGTGTGCTGGTATGCTGATTTAGTCAGCTCCCAGTAATGCAGTAGCTGATACCTGATAATGCAGTCCTGGCAGGAGATGACAACTTGGATTTTCCTGCTTCTTTGTTTAAAAATATCGTGCAGTGTTTAGTTGGTAAGGACTGAATGTTGATCCTAAATTTCTTTGAATTTAGTATAGTTGTTATGAAAGTAATTGACTTGCGGTATGCAAGAGGTCAGCGTAGATGATTTATTATTTCCTTCTAACTGTAGTATCATGATATTAGGATGTATTCTGGTGCTTCAGAAAAAGGGAAGATATCACGTTGCACAATGGGAGAAGTATTCCCATTGAAGAGAATAAAAGTATAAAGTGTGCACAGTACGATTCTCATGTAGGAACAGAATTGCTATGAAAGAAAATAAAATTGAAGGCATGATATTTTTTAAAGGTAAATAAAAGAATGACCTGTTTATATAGGAAATGCACTTATCGGCCACCCCCGCTGCTTAGTGTGTATTTTATAGCTTCTTCAGGCAATCTTTTCTGGACCAAGGCAAAGCTGTGACTTTTTCTCCATTTGAAAAGTCCCACTGCCTAAATAGCTTTGCATGCGACCAAGGTAAATAATAGTGTTTAAACAACGGTGTCTTGTTTGTGCTGATGCCTGTGGAACTTTCCATGGCCATCACTAACCCTGTTTCCAGCACCTCTCATAACACAGGTGACTGGTGAAGACGGGCATGATGCAGTGGGTGCCTTTCCCTTCCCATTACATACATTTTGTGGTTTTGGACTGATCCATGTGAAGCAGGACAGGGAGTGAATTAAATAACTGTAAAACTGTTAATGCCTCAGATCAAGGGGGAAAAAAACCCATAGTTTCTCACCTTTCCTAGTCTCACTCTCTCTGATCATGAAGGAGCCGACCTTGGTGTTGGGTAGCTGTAGAAGTTCCTCTGCTTTTTCTCTTCCCAACCCTTCAAATAACCAGCTGTGAAGCAGGAAAAAAAAAAAAATCTGAAATTTGGACACCAGTGAAACAGAGAGCAGCATGTACCCCCGAAAGTGCAGCATTAGCCAGGAAAAGTGACTGCAAAAATAACACTGTGGCTTTCTGTAGTTATTCTCTCAACTATGTCCAGGCATGTTTCCCTGGTTTATGGAGAAAATCTTGCTCTCTTTGAGTTCCTTTAACTTCTGTGAGACTAAGAGAAGAGTGAGTAAGGCTCGTACTTATTAGGGAAAACAAAACCTTTCAAGCTGCCTTGATCTGAGTTGTTGGCGACACATCCATGTGGCATATTGATGGCATATCTGTGGCGTTAGTTAAATCCCTCTTTTTCATTTAAAACACTTTTGTTAACCTGAAATTGCATTTTATTGGTTCATTAATAACCCAAAATAAAATACAATTATTCTGTTTGTGCTAGGGAACAGTCCAGCCATTTAAGTTAATTGGTTTTGTGGATAAGAGAAAGTGGATTTAGTCCTACTGAGTTGCACCATAGCTTGGTGCACTGATGTATTTTGCCACAGCCAGTGTCTCACCACATAACTGAGCTTGCTCGGCTGGTGTAGAAGTTACTGGCACTTTATTTTAAAGTTGTTCTTGTGTGTTTGATCCAGTCTACTATTATCAAAATGGTCTTGGGGAAGCTTCAGGCAGTAGCTTCCATTGCCATACTGTGCCCTGTCTTTGGGAAAGCATCTCTATTTCAGGAGGATTTAAAAGCATATTAAAATTTAAGACCTTGCATAAATCGCAGTGAAGTTCACAGTTCATATGCTTAAAATTAAACAGGTATTAAAACTTTTGCCAGAAAAGTTTTAAGTGTGTGCTTTAATGTTTTCTTCCTGACTGGTGTCTAGGGCAACAAGAAACCTCTGAACCTTCCTTAGCTCTTCTAGTGTGAGAGCTTACATTCTTGAATGACTTATTAGTCTTTCTATTTGTTCTTTTTGGTCTGTTTTTCGTGAACACCTCTCACTTAAATTTTACTCTTTGTAAATATTAAAAACCCTTTCCAAATAGGGTCTCTTTATGAATCTCTTAAAATTACAGATCAGTCCACATAACAGAAGTATTTTAAATATCTTATATGGCATGTGAGGGTTTTTTGACCCTTTCCAGCATTTAAAGCCAGTATTTTCCTTTTCATATAGTCTAAACTTAGATGTGGATTTGATGTTCTCAGATGTCAAAGGAACTGCTTTAGACCGTCAATAAATAAAATTTTTGTCTGTCTAGTCATTATTGGCATGGTTTTGATTATGACACCAAATAACTAATCTAATATGCAGAAATGTAGTTTTGGAAGGCTATAGGAAATGCATTTACTTACCCGTGGTAAACCTTTGCTACATATTTTCCTGGAATATAGTTTTCTCGACCTGTTGTAAGGGAATGGACTCTCCACCAGCCTCCTTCACTGTGTGAAAGCAAGAGAAGGGATATTTTCAGATGTACTTTCAGAGCTTGTCCTCGTTTTAGAAATTAGTTAAGACACACAGATTAGCTTGTACCCTCCTGTCTGTGTTCCTGAATCTACGTATTCAGAAAGGGACCCAAGTTTGTTTCATTTAGACTAGTTCCATTTTTAAACCTACATCAGGATTAAATTTGGACACAGAAATAAGCTACATTTGTTCCATCTAAATTACGTAAGTAATAAAATATTTTTCTGTAGTTAAAAGAAGAAGGGTAAATACTCAGTGGTTAAATCATGCTGTGCTCTGCCTTCCCACAGCTAAACTTGTACTGGTATCCAAGATATTCAACCTATGGCTCAGTGTGCTGTGTCTGGGCAGCCCTGTAGTTACTCCTGTAACATCAGGGTGGAGATACTCAGCAAACAGACCTGTCTGCCTGGGAACAGGTTTTCAGTCTAACAGAACCTGGTTCATGGTTTGCCCTTTTCCTTTTTTTCAGTGAGTTGCTGAGCAGACTCCAATAAAAAAGACCTCGTAGCTGAAACTACGTGATTAGACCTATGGTTTTTTTCATTGATATATCTTAGGTTCTTGCTGTGATACTGAGTGCTGGCTTTGGCTTTTGAATCCCTTAGGAAGGGCAGGGTAACAAGAACTTTCACAGGGTTGCTGTGAAGCTTTAGTGATTAGTGCAAAGATGCTGATGATTGATGGGTTCTCTCCACCTTTTCTTTTAAGAGTTTCAATCCAAATAATAGTGCATCTTGTGTTTGAATGTTGTTTTTGTGGACGTTCATATAAATGCTCCCAGATAATGCCCGGACTGCAGACCAGAGTCTCAGTCTATGTCAAACCAGCTGGTGTTGAAAACACTTAGGTTAAACCTCCTGAGTTATAGCTGCTGGGGCCATGGTCAAGAATGTATATGCTGAGGGAAGAAGGGAAATGTCTACTGCTCAGAGCTGGGAATTCCAGGGCCACACGGGTTTTGTTTGTGGGTTTCCAGCTGACATAAATTATCCACAAGAAATTTAGGTTATTTTGATATTTTTTTCCTCGCAACTCTCCCAGACAGAATCAAGAATTTCAATAACAAAAACCCCAGGAGACTCAGTGTCTCCCTCCCTCCCAATTGCAATATTACTAACCCTGAAGAATCCCTGTGATGATTAAAAGCCCCAAAGCAGCACATCTCTCCTGGGCCAGGAGCCACAGAAATTATGTAGATTGGGGGGATCACTGGAGGACATCTGGTTTGACCACTGCAGCTAAATGCAGTTGTTCATCTGGTGATGAAAGGTGCTTGACAAGTGTGAAGAGTGAGGAACGGTGCCAGTGGTACTTATCTAATCCTGCTGACCCAGAGCAGTCACAGATATCTGTGAGGAGTTGTGTTGTATATGGGGGTTCCATAATACCCTGTTCCTGGCAGGATTGGTGGGGCTGATTGCTGCTACATATAATTGCTTCGGTAGAAGGCTGAAAAATTGCCATTGTAAAAGCAGTACGTGCTGCCTGCTCCTGCTGGCTTCTCCGTGGTGACTCCTCATCACTCGTGCTCTCGTCGTGCCTGCCATGCTGCTTTTCCCTTCCACTGCATTTTGCTTCTTTGAACACCTTGAGAAAAGACTATACCTAGAGCTTATGTGCAGCAAGAGTCTGCAGATGAACAGTTCCTATTTAACATCAGCATATAACCCAGCAGGGAAGAACAGGTCCTTCATTAGGACACTATGCTTTGTGTAGAGCATTGGAGTGTCTTATCTTCTGGGAACAAGCTGATCCAAAACAGGAAGAGGAAAGTTCCCATCAAGGCTTGCCTTGGCTCTTATTTACTATTAGGAGAAGTTCTTGATCACTGTACAACAGCTAAACATGATGAAAACTGCTGCTAGAGGAGCCTAGTTCTTTTAGAAGTAGTTCTTTTAGAAGTCCAGCAGATCATACTGTGCAGCACACGTACGCATACAATATGCCACACATCTAATTCCCATTGATCCAGGCCTATATTGTTATGTGGTGGTGTGAGGGCTCATAGCTGATGAAAGCTGGGAGTGAGGCTTTAACTTGGAATTTCCAAGCTAAAGCAGTTGTTGTACCATGTCGTGTATGCAGCAAGATTTAAACAGCCAGAAGTTACAAAAGAAAAATTCCCCTGGTTTAGGGAAGGTCTCCAACAGCAGAAAATTAATCTAGTGGTATTTTCTGAGTCTTCTGACCTCTAGATTCAGGGAAGCAGGGAAAGCACTTTGTCAGCAGAACATAACTGCAGCCATTCTGGGTCACACCAAAGGTCCACGTGGCTCCATATCTTGTTGCTGACAGAGGCCATTGTAGGTCACAGTGGCCTGAAGAATAGTCTGAGAATTCACCAGTTGTTTGTGGTACTTCCCTTGAATACTTCTGTCCTCCAAACATTTGATGTTCTGACTTCCTCAGGTAGAGAAATTTTGTTATGAATTTAGAAATCCTCAGAGGATTTCTCTGCTATGAACGTGTCTGGTCTCCCCTTGAATCCAACTGCTGCACCAGCTGCAAAAATTAAATCTTTCTTTTCTGTTTAAGCAGTGCAAACAGTAGCTGTGGGGCTGAGTAATTGCTAAGAGGTCACTGTGTGCTGATACGAGGTGTGCATAAAAGAATAGCAGGGCTGCTGTTTTCCATTTTTCAAGAAGTGTGCTCACTCTTGCACGTGGAATTATTTGCACTGTATTTAAGGTCAGTCTGAACTAGTGCTCTTAAGCCTACCACCTTCTGGGGGTCAAATATTTTTAAGTGGAACTGGCTGGAAAATCTTTGACCTTTTTTTTTCCCCCAGTAAGAAAAGGCAGAATCAATTTTAAAAGTTAAGGAAAAAAAAAAACCCTCTATTTTTTATTTTATTTTTGTTAGAGTTGCCTTAAATCTAGGGTGAAATTCTAAGACCTAATCATAAAGGAGTTGTTTAAATAAGGGTGAGAGAGAAAATGAGACACACACTTGACACAGAGAAATTCAGACTGATTTTCCTTTTCTATGTGATTCAAACTGTTTTGGCTCTTACTCTGTTTTCCACTGACATGGGGGGAATACTTTCTCAAAATCATTTTTCAAAGCAGAATTCTGTTTTGAGTCCTACTTTGAGCCTGAATCCAGCTTCAAAACCATGTCAGGGGAATCCAAGGTTCAAAGAACAGTCTGAAATCCCAAACCCTTAAGCTATAGAGAAATTTGCACCATGGCTAAGCATCCTTCCTTGCGAATTCTGAACTCAGTTCATTTTGCTGAACTGCATCCAGTTTGAACCAGGTGCATAAAACAGAGCTTTGCATCAATTGTAACAAAATCTAATTTAACAAATACGGATCGACTTACTCTGATAGCACACGTAGTTTTTCCCCTACGTGAAATATAGGTTGGCTTATGTCTGCTGAAGGATAGTCATAGAGGACAGCAAGGAAATCACTCTCCTGACCTGTTAAAGAAGAAAGAAAATGTCACTCAAAACCAAGATAGAGTTCTGAAGCAGAAATGGATCTTTCATTATGTATGTTACATTTTACATAGTAGGTCAAATGGGAAAATAACCTCACTCCGAAATGTCACTTGGTAAGCCTGTAACTTTATAGGAAGAATGTGAAGATATTAGAAATGAAAAAAGTCATTTGGTTAATGGTAAGCAACTAAATTTAGACCACTTCTTCTAGTAATTACCATATTCTAAAGGACATATTCAGTTTGAAACTAACAAAATTAGTAAGTATTTATAGTATTAGGAAGTAACCCCGTTTGATTAATGCCACTGTCTCTAAATGCCTCTAGCTACAATTTTGAGCCAAGCTGATGCGTTGCATTTAAGGAAAGGAAGATGGATGTTGAATTATTCCATCATTTAACACCGCTGATATTTTTCAAAGGTATGAAATTAGTTTAGATCAAGGGCAATGAGAGTGTGCCCATTATTGCCCATTTCCCACCACTTTTTAAAATTAGCCAGAGCACTTTGTTCTCCCCCCGTGTGTGGAAAACTATACTAGAGGTAGCACATGATGCCCTTATCTTCAATTAAAGAAGAAAGGCCATGAGTGTTTATAATTAAATCCTTGTACAACTGCATTTTGCAGAACTGAGGTCAGTAAAGAGATAAGAAGACCTTTTACATCAGTTGGGATGACTCTGGGCCTTGCAGCACTGTGTAGGACATGTTCTGAGTCTCCTGGGTTTCCGAAGGATGGAGGCACTTTGCACAAGACTGGGACTATAAAACATTCAACAGCTCCTCATCTGGCTGGAATCTGTGGTGCCCAATTAAATGCTGACAGGTGGGAGATTCAGAAATGTGTCATGCTGGGTGTTTTGAGCTCTTTGGCAGAAGTCTTGGCAAGAGGGATCATAGAATCATAGAATCATAGAATGTTTTGGGTTGGAAGGGACCCCTAGAGGTCATCTAGTCCAACCCCCCTGCAGTGAGCAGGGACACCACTAACTAGATCAGGTTGCTCAGAGCCTCGTCCAACCTGGTCTTGAATATTTCCAGGGATGGGACCTCTGCCTACATTTCTCCTGGAAGTGGGTCCCTTCCCTCTGCACATCGCCGTACCCTCCACCAGCACATGGGGAGACAAAGCTTTCCCTCTGCCTCCAGCAGGATCAGTGCCCTGTTCCTTAGTAATACCATCTAGCAGTGTGTTTGCAGGGGTGGTTTGATCTCCATACTTGCCCACTCTGTGCAGCTCAACATGTGCAAAAATGGGAATGAATTCAGAGGAGGAGAGAGAGAAATTACCCAGAGAGATAGACACACTTCTTGTTGGATCTATATTAAATGAGAAAATCTCTCAACGTGTCTTAAAGGAAGACAGGTTTTTTAGGGAAACCTAGAAAAAGCATCCTGAATGAATGCTGAGACTGGCTCTGTGTTTTCAGCCTCTGTGTCTTACAAATAACTCACAGTGATAATGACGAAAGGCTGAAAGAAACACGTAAGTCTGCAGAAAAGAAGTATTTTCAAGAGGAGACATTTTACACTTGTTATCCTCACAGCAGTGATAATGAGAGTATACATGTTAAGGAAAATATTCCACAGCTTTGGTTTAAAGGAAATAAAAAGTAGTGTTTTCTCAGTTGATTTTGAGTAGCTGTTTGCTGTTATGTTATAGGGACTTATGTTATGCAAAGTAGTGGGTCATTTTACCTTAATAATCAAACTGACTGTAAGCATTTTTAGTCTTGCTAGCCTTTGCCCATTGAAGTAGCCCCACGATACAGTTAGTGAGCATCCTTACGGATGCATAGATATGTCGAGTCTGGAATAGATGTTGATTAGTTTGACAGTGTGTTTAGTATTACTATTGCCATGGTTTTCTTAGTTGATTAACGTCACTGACTTAAACAGGACTAGTCCAGTACCTTTGTATTAATCAGCCAACTGCTGTGATTAGTCTACTGTAACTTATTCTACAATTAGTTCAACGATACTGAAGAAATTCTGTGCTAAGCATGCCTTTGATTGCTTCCCTCTTCTGCACTAAAAATTAAGTGACATCACCTTTGTCTATGAAACTGCTCAGTACCTGAGGCTAACAAGACCTAGGTGTTGGTGCTGAGTCTTTTTCAGCAAAGCAAAATCTTTACCCGGGACTACAGGAAATAAATGCCAGAAGGTACTTCGTAAGAGCTGCAGAATGAGGATAAAGCGCCGTAGCCTAATTTCTCCTTGCAGATTGTTAGACAGCAGTTCTACAAGGAATGTATTTTTTTTTTAGCTTAACGACAATGCCTTTAGCAATATTTTTTTTTAAACTTATGCTGTTTCATTTATAAATATTTTTTTTCCACACAGAAAGGGTGGAAAACAAGTGCTTTTCTGCTCTCCTTCCTTGCGTACCGGTGGTTTGCATTTCGTTACGCACTGCGGGGTACGTGACTTTTTCTCTCTTCTAGCAAGATCTGTGTTACTTTGCTTACACTTTCATCTTTATGTTCGTTTTTGTTTCAATTTTGCACGTTAATTTGTAGTTCTGAAAAGGAAGGAATTAATCATAGTGTTGGCTGCCACATCCATGCAAACATTACCTCTTAAACTACATGTACTTATATTAGAATGAAAGTAAAGGGGGGTTGTACTACCCAAAGCTTTTCAACCCTCCTACTCCACAAACAAGACTTCTTTTTAATTGGTATTTAAATCAAACCTCACTGGGTTTTTTGGTCATGTGAAATACCCCACCGCACTCTACAACTTTTCACAGAACCCATACTAGCTCCTTTCAAACACAAAAGCCTCGAAACAGGGACTGAACAAATTACACTGTTTCTCCACACCTGAATTTCACAGTGATCTAATAGATTTGATCTGTTGAGCTCCCCACACTTTTAAGCTGTAAAAGAAAAAAGATTTGCCAGAGTTTTTCTAACACAACCTCTCCTCCGCAGGGCGAGTGTAGGTTACATGTGAAATGGAACAACTCAAAAGTTAGAGTGGAAAGATCGAAGCACAGTCATTTCCACTAAATCAGGTGTTAATTCTGTTTTTTTTTTTTTTTTTTTTTTTTTTAGGAGTAGGAAATTAATATGAAATACATGCTAGTTTTAGATGTCTGCATCCCTGGGTGTCTTGCAAAGTGCGAGACTGAATATTGCATGCTTCAAATTATTCCTTGTGAAGGGACTATGAAGCACTATTAGAGAGAAGGGAGAGAAAAGGCAGAGCATCCAGATCCAGCTCATTGCCCCCCAAAAACATTGTGCTGTGCACGAGTGTGGTCCCTGTCTGGAGTGGGAATGAGCTGCTCGGAGCTCAGCGTTCTGCATCATCCCAGCTTTACCATCCAGCCAAAGTATGATGCTCTATGGCATGGTGTGTACCAGAGAGAGTAAAGGAGGGCACTCGTGTGTGTCTGGGAGGCTGTCTGTGCAGCAGCCGTAAGGTGTGGCTGCAGAGTCACACTGGCGTACCCAAATTAGATCTAAACCAGCCAACTTGGGAACTGAGAGTTATGCAGGTGCACCTCGATAAGGATTAACCCTTGATTCAGGGTCCCAAGGGAGGAAAGAGGAGGGGGTGGGCTCACAACCCCTGATGATCCCTTGCTGCTGTAGCTACTCTGTTATCAGTACCTAGGTTATGCCCGGGATGCCCATACAGTGTGCTTTCAGATGGAGTGCAGTCATATTTGGAGTCCAAATGCCTCCTTGGGAGATGCAGCTTATGCACTGTTCCCTTTCTTAGCACCAAGACTGATGCACCAGAGGTGAGGAAAGCACAAGGTTTTGCTTTTGGTGCAGCTCTCAGCAGCATGAGGGGCTTATAGAGGTCTGACGAACACACTTAAGTCTGCAGGCTCCAATTATCTGTTTTATTCCCCCTTCTTGTTGGGTATTCTTTCCTTTCTTTCTTTCCCTTCCATTTCAGTCCTTCATCTTATTCAGTCCCACTGAAATGAGACAGTGTAAAACTTGCTTTTCCTAATAACTATTTGGACTGTTGTAAGGCCATGGATTGGATCCTCCACCTCACTTAAAGGTGGCTGTTCCTGGCCTGGGGGAAATCTTCTATGTTTGGTGATGCGATCTGGAGTTTGATCTTCTCAGGAAGACAAATGGATACAAACTCAATGGATTAACCCAAATGTATGCTTTTAGTACCAACTTCCTTTTCAAAAGTCTGTTTTCACAGGATTTGGATGATAGTACCGACGTTTGTATTTCCAACTTCAATCAGCAACATCTAAGCCATTATGAAAGATGCTGGTCTGATCCAGACTAAAAGTTAGATCCAAAGAGCTGTGCAGGCTGTTCAATCATAGAATAGTTTGGGTTGGAAGGGACTTTTTTAAAAGTCACCTAGTCCAAACTCCCCGGCAATGAGCAGGGACATCTTCAACTCGATCAGGTTGCTCAGAGCCCCATCCAACATGACCTTGAAAGTTTCCTGTGATGGGGCGTCTACCACATCTCTAAGCAACCGGTTCCAGTGTTTCACCACCCTCATCGCAAAAAATTTCTTCCTTATATCTAGTCTGAATCTACCCTCTTCTAGTTTAAAACCATTGCCCCTTGTCCTTTGCAACAGGCCCTGCTAAAAATTCTGTCCCCGTCTTTCTTATAAGCCCCCTTTTAAGTACTGAAAGGCTGCAATCAGGTCTCCCCAGAGCCTTCTCTTCTCCAGGTTGAACCACCCCAACTCTCTCAGCCTGTCCTTATAGGAGAGGTGCTCCATCGCTCATTCTGATCATTTTTTGTGGCCAAAAGCTGCCTTTGGGGGCTTAGAAATAGGTATCCAGTCCAATTTCAGCTGTATGAGTGTCTGAGACATCCCTACAGACTTGGCCGATGCCACTGCAGCTATGGGAGACTTGTTCCCTCCCCAGGTGGCAGCAGCAGGTCAGGCAGAATCTGACAAATCACCTTTCTAGATGTGCTAGACGTGTAGGACAGGGCAAGTAGATCTAGCCCTGAATTCATAAATGGGTAATTTCCCCTTGCAATCGCTGTGCTATCAACGTTTGCTGAGTTATCTTTTAGGGGTATGTTCTATTTATGTCACTAGAAGGGATGCAGTTGGCTTTAGCCCTGCTAAATCCTGACTTGTAAGATGTGCAGGCACAATACAAACTTGGACGCAGCCATGGCAGTGACCCCTCACTCTCCTCCTCATCAGCAAGGTCCTGTTCTGAGTGCGTGCATGTCTCTGTTTTGGTGATTATGGTATTCATAACAGCAGTTGTTGGGAATATCAACATCAGGCACTCTTCTTCACACGCACAAAAATTGTCAGTTCATGTTATGGGCCTCTGAGTGGCCATTAACAGTATTTGGTCTCTGCTTTATCAGGTCCTAGGGCTACATGGCTGCCTGTATCAGCTAGTTCTCGACCATGCTAAAAGCAGGGCTGGGTTTCCTTCCAGCACTAATGAAACCAGGCTGATTCCCTATCCTTATTATAATGAGCAGCACAACTGGATCATCTTTCTTGCAAAACCCAAAAATTTTGATTAATGCCTTCCCCCTCTAAAAAAAAAAAACAACCCAAAACCAAACCCAAAAACCAGACCCCAAACCAAAAAAACCCAAACCTGTTTTCTCTTCCTCACCTTTGGGGAGTGATTTATTGCAGCTCTTGTACCAGCTGCCTGTCATATTGCAGCACGAGAGCTGAGGCTGTGCTGACTCTCCATCTCCTTACTTGCAGTTTGGGAGTAGCAGGTAACCGAATCCCTCTTGCTTTCCCCCTCATATGCCTGACCTCTACCAGCCTACTGGGGGGGCTTCGCAATGTGATTTTTTTCACGTGTGGATGCACAGGGCAGATGTGTTAGATCCCTCCCCGGCAGCTTGGCCTGTGAAATGTGTATTTCTGTATAACCTTTATTGATAAATCTGGTGACAAGTTGGCTACGTGTTACTTCTAATGCAAATGTCTAACAGTGGACTTCAGGTTCAGCGTGAGCGTAACACCATTAAGGTTTTTAACCTTAAATGAAGCAACCCCAAATTTCAAGAAAAAAATCTGTGTAAAATATCACATGCAAGCATGTCAAAATACAGTATTTCTGTTTTCTGAATTAGTGCTTCAGTGCTTTCTGAATTGGAAGGAATGTCTCTCAAGGAGCACAAGCAAATAATAGTTTTAACATTTGCGTTTTTTAATTAAAGTACTTGGAAAATGAGCTAGTACGTACCTAAAAATAAGCACTGTCTAGAGGATGCCCTCCTGCTCCCACAGCAGTCACGCACTTGCCTGCTTTTACTACGTCAGGCGGATGAAGGAAGACACATGGATGAATGTACCATATATTTTGCACATCTTTTTCTCTTGAAAGAAATTAAATGAGTGCTTACCCGTCTCGCTCGGCACATTTGTTTCTTCGGAGGCTCTCGGCGTTTTCACAGTATTTCCCATTGCGTTCTCTAATTCCGTCAAAGCTCTTCAGAACTAAATCAAAGGAGACATTGAAATTAAACATCAGAATAACACCTGCTGTGCCAACAGATGAGAAATGACCTAGTTTGGGTGTCTCCAATTTTATAGAGTTTTGCTTTTGAGAACCCTTGTGTCAAATTCATGTGAGAGTTTTACATACTTGCTAAACTCTCACCACTTTGGTGCTTTTATCAGGGGAATAGCAGAAAACCACAGCTAGGGAAGTTGCTCAGAAGAACGCAATGTAGTAAAAGTTTCCATTACCAGTACCTCAGCACAATAGGAAGTCACAGCAAAGCCATGCCCGTACAGTCATTTCATATACAAAATGTTCTGTTCAGCATTTGGAGTTCTGAAGCTACAAAGAAATTAATTAGATTGATGTATCTGGTTTTCAGCGCTCTGTGTATATTATGTCACTTTATGGCCGAACACTAAGAAAGTTGTTCGGTGGGTTTTTTTCTGATGCAGTTGTGCTTTCAGCAAATGTGGGCAATGTTGGTTTTCCTCTTTTTTTCTTTCCTTTTTCTTTCTTTTTTTTTTTTTTTAAAGTAACACCTTGCCTCAAAATGCTTGATCTCAAAAACACTCCTCCTGCATAAAGCCAGTGGTGCAAATTCTTCAGATACTTGTCTTAAGAAGTCTTTGTACAAGAAACAGTATCAGACAATTGTGGAACTAAATATTGTGAGTGGGACAGTTCCTTCTCATGGTTTTACTGCACCCATCCTAATTCTCCCTGACGGGGGACAGAGAGGAAAACCCTTTGGATGTGGAAGGTGTCTCACACTATGGTATATTTTCAGAGGCAGAGGAAAATAAACTATATCTGTTAGAAATTGTACGTTAAAGCAAAATAACTCAACACCACTAGCTGATAGGTAATTATTTTTCAAAAATATGCTTCTGTCGTTGCCCTGTGAATATGATAACAGGAGCTCTAGCAGCATCGTGTGGGTATTCTGCATCTTTCAGTCTTTTCTAGCTTGAATATTTGAAAGATGATTACTGCCTTTGGTATGCTGCTCTTTGCTTACAACAGGCTAGAGTCTGATGGTGTTAGCTGGAGAGGTGTCTAACCTGAGAAGCAGTACTGCTGAAATCAGTGAGGCTGTATTACTAATTGTCTTTTGGAATAAGATTGGCAGAAATGAATATATTGCTTAATACCATAAATATTTGATGCCTTGCTGCGAGTTTAGGAAGACACCCTGCAGAATAAAATGCCGTTCAAAAGAAAGAGAATGCATCTCCTATCAAATGCAAGTAGATCAGAGCTAAAACAGATGGTAATGCACAGTTTGACTCTGCCTCATCTAATTTTCAAGCTTCTTAGTGCTTGTTCCCAAAGGCTCTTTGCTAGAAGTCTCCATTTCACCGGCCAAATGGCACATTACCCTTCCACTGCCTGCACTCAGGAACTAGCTTGTGGCACATCTGTAGGATGCAGCTGTGCCAGTGTCTTTCTGACAAGTGTCTGAAATCTGCTTTGACGAGAACAAAAAACTGTTTCATTGCCTGATATAAGAAGCCTAGAAGCTGAATAAAAAAGTAACCTTAAATTTAAATAAACTATTTGAGTGTTCATGTTTGACTAAAAGGGTCTCTTGGGAGAAAACACAGAATCAGTCTCCATTTAAATGCACCTAAGTTTCTAAAACTTGAGTTGGAATTCATTTTGGCAGGCACTGTCTACTTGCAAAATTATAATTTCCTGAACTAACTATGAATATGTTTTCACAAGACCCAATTTTCATTTCTTCAACATTTTTCTCAGTTGTGTCCCATCAAGAACAAGGGGTATATGCGTAGCAATAGCGCAGCCAGTACTTTGGCTATGGATGTTATAGATTTTCCTGGCTCGTCTTCAAATTAGCCAGCAAAATTTCCTGGGCATGGCAATAGAGAGCTTAACAGGGCTGAAAAAGTCAGCTGGAGAAGTGGGATAAATACCTGGCCAGATAACCTCTGCCGAACGCTGTGCTGTAGTAGCTGAGTTTTTGCAGTACTTGGGAAGGGCAGTTCAACTCTGGCTGTGCATAGCAAGTAAGCTGCAGTTACCAAAAAATGTGTGCAATTCCATCTATAATTGTAATACACGCAATTGTTATTTAGATGAGAAAAGCACTTGAATTTTGTGTCATAAAAGTATGGAAAAATAAAAATAATGGAGTCCTGTCTCTATGTAACCCTTTATTTTGGGTCTTGGCGTTTGAGGGCCAGGAGAGCAAGTCATCCTGCTGGTGATGAGACTTGCGACGGAGTGCTTTCAAGGGCTTTTTTCCTACTCTTAAGATACAGTGGATACAATTTTCAGGTCTGCCTGAGTCACTTTGGAAAGTGATACGTAGCATTTGTACACAATGGAAAGACTTGTGAAAACTTTATGTCACACTTACAAACTTTCTAACAGCACAGCACATTTGAACAAGGCACCTTCGTTTTCCTAGATGGTATTTAGGAGTCTCAACTCTAAACGTTGCTTTACAAATACCTGATGTGTTTTTGAAGGTTTGCTTATCTAAAATTTGCATTTAAACCACTTGCAGTCTAGTCCAGACGGATTAAGTACCAGACAAGAGGCCTACTTGGTATTTTTGCAGAGTACATCCCAAACTGGCCTGTCTCACTTCTGCCATACAAATCATCGTTCTTCTCAACGGACCTTTGAAGTCAACAGGACAGAGCGTGCAGCTCAGTGCTGCTACTTTAGATGTGGAAGAATCTGACTTACGGAAAATACAAATGTTATAAAGTACTTACCGTAACAGTGAAGAGCAATGACGTTTTGGGCTTTGATGTCACTAGTGTGACAGTTTGCTGTGTCGCATTACATTTTCCATACTCTTTTTACTGTCACTAATTACCACGGGTGGCAGCATAAAATCTTGAAAGGGACAGAGAATCCAAGAGGTTCTCTAGATGCATGGCAGAAGTGTTCAATAAAAATAAGCAAATGGAAATCTGTGACCACTGCTGTTGATTCACTTATCCAAAGTGATTAAAAGGAAAATCACAGATATCAGAGTAGGTTTTACCACTAGGGCCACTTGTTACTATGCATTTGGGCAGAGTAAAGGCACCTATAGTCCAGACAAAGGTGGTGGACTTAATGCCCTGAGGTATGGCTCTACTCTCAGACGTTTGCAAATGGGATGGAGTGGAAGAAATCAGAAATTTTGTTTGAAATGGGCCAAAGGGGTGGACATACGTAAGATTGTTTCTACTTGCTTGCTGGCAGTGTTTTCAGAGTAACAGTGTATGAATTAGTATCCTAAGTATTTCTAAAACAACAGTGCATGTGATTCTCAAGTGCATGATAGGACTTAAGGGCTTAAGGAGCTTGAGCTTGTGTCAAGTATTGGCAGTGCAATACAAATCCATTGTATTGCTATATGATAAACTGTGTGGTGGTTTTCTGAAATTTTGAGATACTCTGCAAAAATACTTACAGGAAACTGTAGAGCATCTTGTGGCTGAGCTGATTTTTTATCGTTTAAGTCAACAGTGGAACATTAACTGTTTTATAGATTATATTATTTTGAAATGCTGAATCTGCTCCAGGCACTGCATCTCACTTAAACTTGATGACAGAGCCTGGGATACGAGTAGAGGTGGCATCCGTCTGTCTTAGAAGCAGATAATTATGCCAGATCCAAAGAAAATCATTCACTGAGGGTGATTTGGGAAGAATTAAGGAGACGTGATAGACTCTAAGCTCACCTTGTCTTATCAACCCAAAGCTCTGCATGGAGGAGTGCATCTGCTGTTCAGCCTGGAGGAGCTGCTGGGCTGCAAACCAAGCTACCTGCAGGTGTAAGGGCGGCGTTCCCCACTCACAGACCACCTCCTCAGGCTTGTGTGGAAATTAGATTTTAACCATTAGGATCACATTTGCAGTCTTTCAAGCTTTGGTGCTTCCTCCCCTTTCCGCTTGCGCACATGCTGTTTAGCGAACGCCGGTCACTGCAGCCATAGCTGTCCGCAAACACACAACTTTTGGGGTTTAGTGGTCTTTACTGCTTTATTTTTGCTGCCAAAAGGAAGATGAGAAAAAAATCTACAGCCCCAGTCCTGTTTTGTGTCCTAATTATCAGTGGCAGAACTCTTGGCAAATATGAACTCTTCACCTGTCAAGACTGGAATCTCACTGACCTACATCGTGGGTACCAAAAACCCGTGGTACAATTTACACCTTCCATTCCTGCATGCAGCACATGTAGCAATAATTTTCTCTCACAGAACCTGTTCTCTGAGAAAATGCACTTCTGGAGCAGTTAAATAGCATAGTGTATAGGAAAATCTGTCACTTTGTAAGAACTTTTTCAAAGTTGTATTTAAAATAATTGAAAATTAGTAAATATAAAGAAACAACAATAATGAGAGAAATAAAAAGGCAAAATAAGCACCTGAGTAAAGCCTCTCTGCAAGGAATACTGCACACTAGTAAAATTAGGATATTCATAATTCCTGAAAAGCTCTACCCTATTTTATTTTTGTTACCTGATATTCACATCTATGCTGCCAAGGTCTTAGAATTTAATTCTCAATAAGGTTCACAGGTAATGCCTGAATCCCATTTAACTTGAAAATGAAATCACCAGCATCCTGTTATTTTTCACGGGTGAAAAAAAGCAGCTTAGATTTCAGAAACTATACATTCTGGGGTGAATTTCCTTTAATTTGTCATTAATCAAAATGAGCATCCTTTCAGCTTTTAGGCACTTGTACCTTTGCACTTAGAAAGAACAACGTAACGCTGTAATCACGGTAATTCACAGAAACATACAACTATGAAACAACACAGAAATACCACATTATGCAAACTTCTAACACTTTGAATAAAAAGCCTGCTAATCTGTTCCATTTCTCATATTTTGGGTTATAGTGAGCTGCAGTTTGCTTCAGCATAAGGTCCTATGCATTTATCTTACTGTGAGCTTTCAGTAGAAATTCTCCTTCTCCCTTCTATCTTTAGTACCACTCCTTATGAAAAGGATCAAGGCAGGCTTTTCTATTTCTGCCTTTGGTGGTACCTGAAATCCATGGTCTGAATGCTGGCATCGGTAATGAAACAGAACTCCTTTTTATATAAATACAATTGAAAAAAGATGTTCCCGTATGCAGATAATCTAAAATGTATCAAAGTAATGATTACCTTTAAATGCTAGGCATGGTATTCCAGGTTGCAGTATTTCTCAAAAAAGCCGTAGTCATAATACTGCTCTCATGCTGCCAGCAAGGTTTAGCTGATCAAGTCGAGGAGCAGCCGGTCGAATGAGTGTGTTGTGAAGTTCACGCTGTCATGTAGAGCAGCATTTGCCAAACAGGCCACATACTTCCTCTCCGAGAAATAAGGAAGGCTCAAAGTGTTTGCAACAGATGAGGTTCCTGTTGCAAGTCACTACTCAAGACACTTTTTATCTATGGGCTGAGGAAAACAAGGAGGTTTTCAACATATTGCATCAGGGCTAGCTTGAGCAGATATAAAAAATGAGCAAAATAACCTGTTCTGCATTACTTACACAAAAAAGGGTTTCTCTTTCTCCTTTTTTTTCCTTCCAAATTTATTTATCCAGTAATGTTCAGTCCCCAACTGTTTTGTTTTATGTAGTTTTGCTAGTTTTTTTAGGCAGGCAGGAAGAGGCACAAAACTTTCTTTTCCACTCTTATTGAGCCTGGCTGGGAATGCAAGGTTTTCTTTATTCTGCACTCCAAACCCACCCCTGTCTGCAAATAATTGAAGCTCAATATCATCAATGAAAGAATATGGAGTGAAAGCCTGCCTATGAGGCACATTTTCACTCAGTTGTACACAACGCAGAAGCGTGAGCCCCAGGACGTCTCTCATCTCCGTGTCTGAGATGGGGAAAACAAGATACTAGCCTGTTAAATAATTTGACTGAAGTCCTTCAGGAAGAAGGATATGCAGACATGATACAGGAGTCAAAGGGATTTATTAAGGTTTTCCCTTTGCTTTTATGATCAAGATATGATCTGAAAAGCTCATATACCTAATTTTGTACAGTAAAATTAAAACAAAACAAAACAAACAAACCCAACCACCAGAAAATGCAGCAAACCCGAGTAGAGTTCCTGCTTCACGCCAGAGTAGCTCTGAGTAGCTGTTCATTGTAATGCCAATTTGTTTGATGATGAAAACTGAAAGTTGACAAGTGTGGGAGCTGTTGTGTAAGTGTTGTTGGAACCAGGAGACAGTGATCAAATTCCTAAAGCTGTGCCAAAATTCAGAGCTGTGGTAGTTACAGGAGAATATCCTTTCTCTTTGATGGGCTGTGTTAGCAGTCCTCACCTTGAAGGGACAGGAAAGTATCAGGGAGCTTGATAAGCAAATCAGTCTACAACACAGAGCCGTGACAGGGTTACAGCCATTGCTCTGGGGAGTTGGTTTTACCATAAAGCCCCATGATTATCCCTGCCAGTTATATTTTGGTTGTTTAGGACCTTATTTCTTTCTTCCAATCACAGAGATGTGGCATGCACATTTCCTAACGGCATTCACCGAATGGATGCACAATGTTTCTGGAATTACTAAAAGCTTATGGGTTGGGGGATGTCTGCATCACACATGGGAACGGCCAGGGGCAGCACTCTTCCTTCTCCTGATCCTTCTCACCAATATCTACCTTGGGCTGGCTCTGACAGTCTCTGTACCTTTGCAAGAAGCCAGGTTCCGTCCCAAGATGCACTCGTGAATGCGGCAGGTCTCAGACTGAGCAGGAAAGATTGGTCGCACAGAAGAAGAGGTTGGACTTGCTTGATAGAACATGCTCCACTGGAAACATAATAAATCTCAGGCATGGTTTGTACCATGTTTGTAGAGGAACAGATGAGTTCGCAGTGGAGGGAGGTAAATAAAATTCTTTGTTCCCTGTTCATTTCCGCCTGTTTCTGTAGGTTATTTACTGTTGTGCAATGATGAGAGCCAGTTTACTCTTTCAGTGTGTCCAACTAATAACATGTTTTAAATGATAAGATAATTGATAAGGTAAAGTTTACGTCTAAATGGAAGAAAGTTTTGATATGAATTGTGGGCTTTCTACGTCATCTTAAAAGTATTCATATCCTGTTATTCAAGTCACTAACCTGACACAGCACTCAGCAAGTCACTTGAGAGAGCAACGTTGCATTTGCAGGACTGCCTGCGATTACAGAAAGAGCGATTTGCCAAGACTCATTTATAAAAAAGAAATATCCCTTCTTCAAAATGTTATTTTTGATAGAATAGACAGGACACCACCACCACCACCCCTTCCCCTCATTTTTATCTGGAAATAACAGTTCTAGTAGATGGTTACGGAGGGAAAAATCTTTATATCTCAGTCTCCATTGCTGGACTGACCTGCCAAGTCCCTTCATGTGCTAGTGTTTTCCACATGTCTGCCACATAGCTCCTTTGCTGTGATAGAGTTTCACTGAGCTGGTCCCAAAGATATCTACACCTCCAGGTCCTTGAAGACAGTCTTTGTCTGAAAAACTGGAAAAAAATGACATTCATGTTTCAATTCAATTCATTGCATTGAGCCCTGCAACCTTGGTGTGTTGTAAGCACTTGCCACTGTGCAGAATTAGATGTCTAAGGAAAAGCAATGCAGATACTGAAATGCAACCCTGCAAGAAAAAAAAAAAAGAATAAGGCCCCAAATTGAGAACAACTTCTGAAAGTACTTTAAACCCAGTCTTTCAGAGAATAATCTTGTAAGCTAATTGGAAAGAAGAGTTAGTGGTCAGTTTGTTGCAGCTTGCTTAGTTTGCGGTGAGAAAAAACAGGATATAAACAACCTCTTTAATCTGGCATTAACTGAAACTCAAGACATCCTCAAACAGAAATGCAGTTTTCTGTCAGTGGAGTGATTATCTTCAGGCACAAACTGCAAAGACAACTGTGGTATCCATTTCTCTGTGTCACTGAGCCCAGCTTAAATGCCTCACGCAAGATCAGTTTTTAGTCAAACACAGGCCACGTTTTAAGTGATAGGAAGCACTTGAGCTCAGCAGTCAAGAAATGGAAGAGCCTTGGCTATCCTGGAGGTCAAACCAGATGGTCTGACAGATACTTCTGGCTGTGAACTGAACTGGCCAGAACTTCTGGCATCTCAACCTGGACAGTGCCTAACTCTATAGGGACACTATCGTTAACAAATAAAATATTGCTGTGCAGCTGGCTCTTTCGGGAAAGTAGAATTATCAGGACATTTCGTTGGTTTGACTGTTTTCATTAGATATGTTTTGATCTCGCTTTTGGCTGGTGTTACTGTTACTGCTGTTTCTGTCGTGTTGATGCCTGCTTCGTAAGGAGTCCGCAGCCTTGCAGCCATCAGAGTAACTGCATTAGTTTGAAGGGAGTGCATGTATTGAAGAAATTAATGATGCGGCTCAAGCAGGGTTTTCAGTTTCAAGTAACGTTGGAAAAACAAGAGGTCATGATGTGAGAAGAGGAAGAAGGTTTTGGGTTTACAGAGTGTGGGTGATAAAAACTAGTTGCAATGAAGTTTCTAATCGTTAGATCTGTTATGAATCGGTTTTAAAAACTTTGCAGAAGTGAGTTTCCAGAGTAAATGAGGAATTAAAATATATTCAGCACTGCAGCTTATATGGTGATCGTCTTTTCCAGGTATGTTGGGAGACAGAGGTACAGCTTACAGTAATAGTCCATATATTCTTTTTTTATTATCTAATCTGAATAAGAGCAAGGGGTGCTATTTAATTAAAACCTCCTGAACTGAGACATCTGAAGCAGAAAGCTAGCATTTGGCTAGACAAGAATAGTTAGATGTGCCCAACAAGTGGAGGGAGAATTGGGATAGACAGGATAGCACCAATGCAGATCTGTGAGCTATGATAGCGTCATAGAATCATCCAATCATTTAGGTTGGAAAAGACCTTTAAGATCATCAAGTCCAACTGTTAACCTAACCCTGCCATCCCACCACTAAACCATGTCCCTAAGCACCTCGTCTACCTGTCTTTCAAATACCTCCAGGGATGGGGACTCAACCACTTCCCTTGGCAGCCTGTTCCAGTGCCTGACAACCCTTTCTGTGAAGTAATTTTTCCTAATATCCAATCTAAACCTCTCCTGGTGCAACTTGAGGCTATTTCCTCTAATCCTATGGCTGTTACTTGGGAGAAGAGACCAATACCCACCTTCCTACAGCCTCCTTTCCGGCAGTTGTAGAGGGCGATAAGGTCTCCCCTCAGCCTCCTTTTCTCCAGGCCGAACAACCCAGTTGTTGCTTGTGCTCCAGACCCTTTACCAGCTTCATTGCCCTTCTCTGGACACACTCCAGACTCTCAATGTACTGCTTATAGTGAGGGGCCCAAAACTGAACACAGTATTCGAGGGGCAGCCTCACCAGTGCCCAGGGCAGGGGAAGGATG